AACAGTCCAGCAAAAACATGAATAGTCATCTTTATAAATAAAGCATATTCCTAGATTTTTATGGAGTGAAATAAACACTTTCAACAGGCCACATAAGAAGCATAAAAAGGCAAAAACAAAACTACAAGTTGCATTTCCTGTTACATGAACATTTGGAACGGTTTACAGCAGTTGCTCCACAGACATGAAATCTCATGCCACATTATGTAAGAGTTACAGTGATGCTTGCTTTAGCAAAACACTACTAATCAACATTGCTCATACCTGCGGTTAGGGAATTGAACACACTTCTTAAGGTGTGGCCACATATACTGTTCTTTGGCAGGTTTTCATGGGTAAAATCCAGTCGTTTCCATAGAAATCCATGGGATTGGGAACTTCCCCATGCATTTTTCTCAACAGCTTCAGGTTGGATTCCCCATGTTGACCAACAGAAAGCTGCTTGGTTTGAAAGTGACGTCTGTGTGAGATGTGCTTCATACGTTGAAACATTACAGACATTATATAATGGACATTTTTAGCCTGCAAAACTTTGCTAATGTGCCCATAATTTTATTTTTCAGTAGTCTTAAACTTCGGTGTGTAACACATCCTGCACAATGTGGGCTATCAACATTAATAATACCCCATATTGTGTTTCTTTTTTTTTATTGTGCATTGTAGGAAAGGCCCAAGTGATAGTAGTAAGTTGATAAAAAATATCTAACTTATTGAAATATGAACTAAACTCACAAAAACAATGTTCACTGCATGAATAAACATGGAACCAACAATGACACACCCAAAGTCTTCCAGGTTTGAAATGTTTTTGTCCAGAACAATATGTAATCATGTAATCCATAAAAAGTAGCCTAACTGTAATCTGATTTAAAATGTAATAATTACAAGTGCTTAATTTTTGGAATCTGATTACATAATCCAGATTACATGTAATCAGTTACTACCCAGCACTGCATATACAATTCATACACTACATGGCTGAGTACATATCACATAAGTGCATAGTGTATAAATGCACAGTGCATAGTGCGTAATTTGGGATGCAGCTTATGCACTATATACTCAACGGTCTAGGAATTATGAATTATATATGGTTATTTTGCCATCCAACATCATTCTGATGGTGATCATTAAGTGCATCATCTAGGTATTTGAAGACACTTTTCGGGATTATTAACTAATATGTAATTATCACACTATTTATACCACAAAATAGCTTTGAAGAGTGCATAAGTAACCAAATTGGAACGCACCTATAGAAACTTGGCTCTTTTGACTACCCGCAACACCCCTGCATCAAGGCACAGACATTTCTCTTCAAGAAGTGCTAAAATCTAGTGTTAATGTTATGTTGTTCGCTGTTAAGTGGGTTTAGTGAAATAATGAGTGTAGAAGGGAGAGTGTGAAAGTGAGTGATCGTGTAGAGGGTTAATAAAACTCTGACCCAGATTGCTGGCCTCGTTCCAGCAGGCACCATCCCCACGGCCACGCCCACAGAAGAGGAGAACAGGAGCTCTGAATGACTGTGTCAGCAACACTGAGATCTCGCTCTATCGCTCTCATACACACAGAGACAAAAAATCCTGTATGTTCTGACTATGCAAACGAGATCTGTCTTTATCTAACTCTCACTGTCCATGCAAACAAAAAGAAACTGGACAAACCTGTACTGGCTTTGATCCATGCATAAAAGGTCAACATGCACCTATTATGAATGACCACAAAATCTGATCTGCCCTAATCCTGAAATGGCACAATGACTGAGTGTATTTTTCATGACTGTGAAAAATGTGTTTGTGGCACTGGTCGTAACTCAAGCCCAAACACAATTCAGCATAGCGCTGTATTAAAAACAGCATTAGCCAGCACAAGAGTGTGGAAACTGCCACTGTTCGCCTCAAGTGCTTTCAGTTCTGTTCACTGAGTCATAAATGCTGCAGGCAGGAGGACAAATGTGCTTCACAAATCTGTTCCAGTGTTAAATCACCTGATTGGCAGGAATTTGTCAAAACAGCATCCACCACGAGCAGCGTGTCAAAACTCATTAATATGCCAGCGGGACAGAAAAACGCTCAAAAGCGAAACCTCAAGAACTGGTTCGGTTCTATTCGTCACCAACTAACTTGTGGTTTGCAGATATGAGCTAAAAGTGAACTCTTAGCAAGGGTGTAAATGCAGTCGCAAATGCTTGTATAAACTTGACATGTGCACTTTTGTTATATGGCGGTAGTAAGAAAAAACCTTGGTACTTACCATGTTACCTTCAAAAGTGTGTTGTTATTAGGGTGGTTATATAAACATATTAAAAGCTTTGACTTTAACAGAATCTGATTTGACTCCAGATCCAGTGTGAACAAGTGTAGACAAACACCTTGAGTGTTTTTGCACAAATTAATTGGTCCACAAGGTGGCAACAATATCTAGGGCTTTTTCACAGTTGAAAAAAACAAAAGAGACGGAACGAAAAACTACTGGAGGCGAATACGAAGAATAGACTTTCGTGTTTATGAGCACTTGTGTGGGTTAAGATATACACACAATTCTAGTTTAAACGAGTACAAAGACATTAACCGTTCATAACTTCTGGAGAGATATAGCACAGACACTGGACAAAGATGATTTTTTCTAGTACACTATAGTGTGTTGAGTTCACACATGCTATCAAATAGTGTATGGGCTACGTGTTTAGCTACTCACAGTATACTTTGGGCTGGGGTTTTCCAGGACCAGGATTAAGAACCACCGCAATACGATTAGAAAATAATAAGCATGAACAACTAAAAGTCACCGACGGACATGAACACACAAGCTAGTACAAATCCAAAACCCACTCTGAGATTTCAAAGAAATAACCGGCTGATTAAGCACATGCCACACATTGGCAACGAGCATTGAGCTCAGTCAAGGTCTGCCAATGCATTCCCTCTGTGCACAGCACATATCAGACTGCAAAAATCCCAAACGCACAAAGGAAAGCACATATTAAGCTCTAGGCAATATTATTGTCTCATTAATAATTTAATCAGACTGCTAGATCACACAAAAAAAAAAAAGCCAAAACAGCACAAAATATAACCTGAAGCTATCAAAATGGAAACATTAAGTAATTATTTATCATTTAATCAACTGATAAATGAATTCCGATGGTAAGAACCGCGCAAGCTTGAATCCAATCTATTTGAAGTCTTACTGGAATGTAAGTTCAACTAAAGCCACCACTCAAAGTGACCCCAGCAGCCCTGTGGTGTGATGCTCGAGCCGTTCCCAGAACCGCTATCAGGCTCTGCCATTATAATGCAAGACAGACAGTTTGTTTACCAGATTGGACGCAGAGGCCTCAGCGAAGGACAGTCCTCTGGGGATGATGAGGATATGATCCTGCTCCTTACTGACACGAACCTACAAGTTTTAAAACACACAAATAAGCAGCTGTTTTTCCTCTCCTGATCAAGTTAGTTCACGGTTTCTTCATCTATTCCAACAGGCATCCGGATACTTTGTTTTTCCTTCTTTAGCACACCTGGTTAAGCTATTCAGCATGAGTGCAGATGCTGTAACTACAGCATTATGAAGAGAAAAAGCATCTTTGTCCATTAACAGCCATTCAAAAGTAGACATGTATAATTTAATAATAACTTAATTTGATGATGAATGGGAAAGCAGATATCTTTCTCCATGTATTAAACTGGGAGTGTCTGATTAGTGGAACTATAATGTTTATCGCCTGCAGGAATGGATTGCGAAACCCTGGATTACACAATGTACATAATTCACTTTCACTTCCTTGTTCTACAATATTGACACCAAAAACAAGTATAATATTTAATCTATGGCAGCGATAATAATTATAATATGCTGTGCCTTACTGTAACGTAACAGCTTGTGAAGTGGGCCCAACTGAACAGGTCCACTAGTCTGTAGAGGCAGGCCAGTTTGCAGCGGATCTGTTTCTCTCCCTTGACCATAGTACTGGACTCCATGGTGAACATGTCGTTTATTGGGGTGACCATGCCCAAACCTGGGAAATAAGAGCAACAAGGGACAATTCAAGAACAGGTTTTTAACCATTTTATAAGATGGACTTCACTTAAAGATTTATTAGCCCACTTAAGCGCACAACTTGAAACTGACATTTCTATACTGCTGAAAATGGACAACAAACGGGTGTAATCGATACCTTGATACTAATCAAACTCAGACTAAAAGCAAGTGCTGTGTCCTGATTAACTGATAACACCTTGAGTGTGTCCATGAAACACTGATATGCCTGAATCTAATAAAGATGTTTTTAGTTAAGACTGATGTAGTTTATACAGCTAAAAACACTGCTGTAATCAATTTACCGTAGCTTATTTAGAACCTTGAGGGATTCTGGTCAAAGAACAGTAAGGAAATCGAATAATAGTATAAAAAATAAAAAATAAATTCAGCCATACAAAAGATCCAACTACAATAAACACAGTCAGCACTTCACATCAAGAATACTCAAGACTTTTCAGAATGGCAGTTTGTATATTACAGAACTCTAGTTGCAAAAACTTTCTATAACTCATTCTAGAGCTCCAGTTGATTACGCATTCCAAAACTCTTTCTTGAGTTTCACTGTTCCAGAACTCATTTCAGACCTCCAGTTATTACGAGTATCAGGAAATCATTCGCAAACGCCAGTATACTTTCCATTCCAGAACTCTTTCTTGAGCTCCACCTGACTAAACGTTCCAGAATTCGTTGTTAAACTCCAGTTCACTAGAAACATTCATCCTTGAACTTCATATGACTAAATGTTGCAAAAGTGTTTCCAGAACTCCACTTTACTAAACATTTCAGAAAGCATTCTAGAGCTCCAGCTGACTTAACATTCTAGAACTCAACCTTGAACTCCAGTTGACTAAATAATCCAGCACTTTTTCTAGATCTCCACTGGCTAAACGCTCCAGAATTAAACTTTGAACTCCAGATGGCTAAAAAAATCCGTAGCTCATTTCAGACTAGGGATGTGCGCGACGACTAATTTGACTGTCGTTTAAACAAAAGTTTTGTATCCGACTAGTCTAAAAGCAAGAAACCACCAAAAGATGGTAAGAAGAAAAAACCTGTGTGTGTGCGTGTATTATATATAATAGCCTATATTTTAAATACTTAAAATATGAATCACACTGTCAAATCCCTCAATGAATTCCGCTTGCCGCACACTTGCCTAGCGTTATCATCATTTCATTTTAGGCGGTCGTTAAAAAGAAAAAAAAAAGAAGAGCATACACTCAACGTCGGCCAAAGCATAGCTTATTTATTCAAATCAGCTGGGGAAATGCAGAACAATAGCCTGACAGAATTCTTAATCTTCATATAACGTTAGCCAACATATTAAAACACAAGTCAAAAACAATAGGAAGGTTTATCAAGAAATAACAGTAAAACGGCTTTTAAAAACGTACTTCGTGTAGGGTATATCGTCTAAAAACAAAACGATGCAACAATGCCCATTTTACTTACTCAGACCATGCGTTATTTGTTCAGTGAGATTTTCAACGTGGTCTGGTGAAATACGGGACCCGAGCCGATTAACAATAAAATTCCTGCACTTGAAAAAACGCGCTCGGCAGGAACTGAAGTCGCAGGCACGCAGAGATAACGAAAAGCAAGCCAATAAGAGTTTGAAATGGGGATGGGTGATATCTTACCGTTTGCGATATACCGGTAAAAATTATCCCCACGATAAGAATTAGTCTTCCTGCGATAATAACGATAAAGTCTAGTTGTGACAGTGCGGAGCGACATCACGGAAAGCGGACGTGAAATTGAGGAGTAGCAGCCTATATGGCTAAATTAGGAGCTCGAGCTCCTTTTACAATCGGTAACTGGTTTGGTTAGGGCTGTACGGTGCACAAAAAATCGGTTTGAATAAATGTACTACAGTAACATGTGTGCGATACAGTTTTGCATGTGTATGAGCCTGTTTACAAAATTGTTGTCCAAAAAAGTATAAAAAATATAATTTATTGACATGCTTTTTCTTCAAATTAACTTAATAACATAGTCGAGTGTTTGAAATACTTCTTCTTGTGACCAGACGTGGTTTCATATTACAGAATGATAGTATTATATACAGTGATAAAGGCCATGTCGATTAACATTGCATTATAAATATACTTTCCTTATAAAAATACCCAAGACCGAAGAACACCGATAAACCATATATTTTGTGCAGTCGTATGTTTATTTTCCTGAAGTTTCATCAGTTAAAATGTCTCTACCTCCATTGCGCGTTTTATTCATCGCTAACTGGATACCTTCCTGGAGCATCTTCAGTAGTATTTCTTCTGCTATGGATATGGGGAGTTTCTGTGCAAGAGCACCCTCCGGCTTCCAGTATGAATTAAACAGTCTTTACATTACGTGTGAACTCATTAACCTCTTAAAGGGGTCATATGATGCGGCAAAACATTTTAGGAAAAAAACTTGTATTTTTTGATGTCATTACATTGTTTAGAGCATTAAATAATATATATTGCTATTGATATTTCTAAAAAAAAATGACAGTAAACATCAGTTTACAAATGGTGAATTAATAAAAAGACATGCCTGTATTTTTAATCTATTCCTTTTTTTTATAGGGTCCTTTTTTAAACAATAATAGGGCCCTATAATATGTTCTTAATTTTTATGGTAATCAGATGAAGGCATAAAACATTAATTTATCCTAATCAAGTGAAAATTAAATCCTTTTATTTTTTGGCAAACAAAGTTCTGCACAACAGAGGTTTACTGTTAAAATTAAAAAGAAAACAGATGTACAGAAAGATTTATTTTTATTCCTTTAAAAATAAATATTTATTAATATTTATTAGCAGTAGTAGCATTGAGACTTAAGACTGGTAAATAGTACTATATTCTGACAGTTTCTTCACGTTAAACTAAACTTTTATTTTGACCGGTTGCCGTGACGAACTTGCAGCTGCTGTGTATGTGAAATGACGGTAGTTTTCTCAAATGAAACTGTAAAATGCTAATGAAGTGACTCTCAGAGCAGCTGGAGATGACATTTGTGTTCATATCATCATATAGGTGACACAGCAGAAGCTGAAAACACCACGAGCGTCATCCGCGCTTTAGTATGCGTGTAGTAAACAAAACAGTGCGCCTCGCCATCCGCAATTCAATCATTGCGAAATCATGGCGCCTTATGCGTGATATCAAATGCTTCCGCAGATTTATAGTATTACTTATAGCATTTCACCTGAGCATTGCGAATCACGCGTATGGCCATGATAAGCTCTGAATGAATGACAGGCTCTCTGTTGTAACATCGCGCAAGGTAAATAAGGGTGACATCTAGTGGAGAAGATTAATGATAAGATTCACGTTAATCAGACCTTGTTTTAAATGTGTGCTGAAATAAACACCGGAACAGATCGATTCGCGGCATTTGAGAATCGATATCGAATCGACGTCATTTAAAAAAAAAACGATTAATCGAAAAATCCATTTTTTTTGCCCAGCCCTACTAAACATTCCAAAAGTGTTTGCAGAACTCCACTTTACTAAACACTGCAGAACTCATTCTAGAGCTTCAGTTGACTAAACATTTTGTAACCCATCTTTGAGCTCCAGTTAACTAAGCATTCCAGAACTCATCCTTGAACTTTAGATAGCCAAGTGTTCCAGAGCTCTTTCCAGAACTATACTTAAATGCTCCGGAACGGCATTTGAGAATCGATATCGAATCGACGTCATTTAAAAAAAAAAAACGATTAATCGAAAAATCCATTTTTTTTGCCCAGCCCTACTAAACATTCCAAAAGTGTTTGCAGAACTCCACTTTACTAAACACTGCAGAACTCATTCTAGAGCTTCAGTTGACTAAACATTTTGTAACCCATCTTTGAGCTCCAGTTAACTAAGCATTCCAGAACTCATCCTTGAACTTTAGATAGCCAAGTGTTCCAGAGCTCTTTCCAGAACTATACTTAAATGCTCCGGAACTCATTTCAGAATGCGTTATAGAACTGGAAACTTATCCAGCTGGATAAATCTAGAGCTCAGTATACAGCACAAGATTGAGAACTGCTGCTTTCAAAATCTTCACTGAACAGACCTCATATGTGCAAATGTGGACAGCCATTATTCAAAAACCACAACCATGACACATTTTAAATGGCCTGTTTTTGCAACTTTGTTTACATAAATGGTGTGGGCAAAGAGAGGAGGGCATTGCCATTTATATAATTTTTATATCTAAATAAACTATCAATGTCTTATTTTTAAACCTCATACCTTTTTCTATTATATGCCCTAGATCTGTACATAGTCTACATACACCTAATGAGATTTAGGCTATGACTTTGAATGTACAGTAAGCACTGAAAGGGGTTCACTGAAGTTCTGCTGATTAGTTCTGCATAGCAGAGCGCAGAGAGAAAACAGATACATGTGCAGAGGGGCTGGATGAGGTGATAAGGGAGGGAGAAGTAAGATGAAAGAATGCAAAGGCTTTCCTGAGTCGGCTAGTCATATTTCCTCCCTCAATGCCTGTTTATGGGAATATCTGTTATTTAGCGACCTGCATAACTCTGAACAGGTGGAGGAGTGGGGCAGTCTGGGACATCGGAGGACTGGAGGAATGTTGCAATCTGTTCCTGTGTAGATGAGCCACACTATGGCGATACTCACTGAGGGGGGAGGTGGAGAAGCCGGCTACGGAGCTGGCCATGAAGAAGTCTGCGATCTGCTGCAAAGCGAGCAGTCCTGTGGGGTCGTTCCCCTTGTTCATCTGTTCTTGGATCAGTCCCTCTAGCTCATCCCTAAACGCCTGAAAGAGAAAGAAAACATGAGATTAGAGATGACTCACACTGTAATGAGAGATGGACACAGAGCTGTAATCCTCTCACGCTCCTGCATGTTTAAACCCTCTGTACTCCGTTTTTTCCACTTGTATCTTGACAACTAGTTAAGTCTATTAACCCATAGGCCTACTCCACTTACTCTGAAGAGCTGGAGGAGACTCTCTACAGAAAAACAAGGAAGTGAAGGATGAAAGTACCATCTTAAATTCTTTGGGTACATCCAAAATTCATTTTCAGTCCACTGGAACAGTTTATTTTCAATGTTTAGGGAAGGAAACCATCTGTAACTGGTTTTAGAAGCAGTACAAAGCTCTTCTGTATGATGCACTGTCATTCTGCACACCTGCTCGGAGTCTCGAATGAATCTCAAATGAATCACAGGATAAACAGACACTGACAGAGCGCTCAAACTGACACAATGCCTCAGTTACAATGACTGCTCGTTCTTACTTACAGAGACTCACAGACTTGTCTTATTTACAGGTGTGAGTAAGTGTCTGGATGTGAACTGAGGCATGTACAGCTTCACTCGACACTGTATTTGAGATTGGTGAGATCCTAACATGCAAACAGTATGCAAAGATATATATGCATATCAGAAAAAGGAAGGTAAACTAGTCTCAGCAGGCACGCTCTGTTCACTGATGGCCTGATGTTTTTTGCACATAAAATGTCAAGCAGTAGTAAAAATCTGGACTGATTGGTTTTATGCAAACTGCAGGTACTGGGATAAATAATGGCTTTTTGAAGTTGTTTATATGGTACCGGATTGCAATAAGCATCAATGAATCACTAGATTTGCCAGGTTATTGGCATCAAATGTTTGAAAGATACTTTAAGGCACTTAGAAAAAGTTAACATATTCACAAATAGAAATAGTTTGCTTTGAGCGTAAAATAAATGAAAATAATTTAAAAAATAGACTAAGTTTGATTTCTGCCAATTTTTTTTTACCATAGAGATTTTTTTTTTACCCATATTATAGTGGGAACAAATATTTGAGATAATTCTTCCTACAGACAGTAATAAAAAAGAAAATGGTCGTTTCACAGGTCTAATTGGGTCATTCTTGGCCAGAATTTCATGCAAGTCTGGCTATGCAAGACTACAGGAAAACAAATGTAGATTCCTCTTCAAATCTACGGATTCTCTGTCCATTCTGGGATGTGTTTTTGGCTGATCTATGTGTCCAATAAAGCACTTTAACGTAACACCGCAGGGGCATCCTAGTGCGCACCACAGGTCTAGAGAGACTGAGCTAAAGAAAGTCTGATTTCCATAGTCACAGTCGCCAAGCAGCCACAGGGAAATGGGCATGGTGTTTGTGTATCCATGTGCGGGCCGTCCCTGCCAAACTCTCAAGTGACTTTGTGTGTGTGTGTGTGTGTGTGTGTGTGTGTGGGTCAAGAAAGTTCGCTGGGGCTTGATTTCCTAATCTAGGGTTAAACAAACTACACGGGAAGCAAATTAAATTGGCCCTTAAGTTTGTTTGGATTTGAATGAGAGCATCATTCATCAAGCATACACTGAAAAAAAAGAGAAAGAAAGAAGCCATAAATTCATGACGTTAATGCCCACGTAATAGCCCAAAAAGTAAAAGTAAAGCACATTAACAGCTGTTCGGTGACATTTTGCCCAAATTTCACTGCAGGGTGAAAGGGTTAGTTTACCCAAAAATGAAAATCCTGTCATTAATTACGCACCTTGTCATTCCAAAGACCTACGCCAAGACCTTCATTCATCTTTGAAACACTAATTAAAGCTTTCTGATAGGGCTGTGTATCGTTTAAAAATTTTCAATATCGATACCAATACCTTGACTTCGATACCGGTTCCTAAACTATACTTTTTTCGATACCAATGTTATGAAATCAATTTGAACTAGATTACATTATCTAAAAAAAAAAAAAAAAAACTTTGGTTTTATTTTTCAGCTTGTTGATGTTTATACAAACTCCAAGGCTCATCTCCTGAGCCACTGCACAAAGGAACAAAATGTAACCAACACAATAAATCAGTGCAAAATAGTTAATAAAGCTCAAATAGTCTTCAGTTTACACATCTGTTAGGCTACATTTACACTACTTAGTGTTCATTTTAAAATGCATAGCTCAGACAGAATCATTATTTCTATTTATTTTCCACTGATTTACTGATGAGCATTTGCAGCTTCCAGCGCTGTCTGCTTGTGTTCTCTCTTCCATGATCGCTGCTCTGATAACATATTTAATTTCAGCAGCATTGCATGGCCAAAACACACATTAGACGGCAATCGGAAGTTATTACAAACACTCGATGGTGGTTTAAAGTGAGTTTTGAGTAAAAGCGGAATATAAATCTTATTTATTGTCTTATGTAGCATGATGCTACAGTTTGCATGAATGGTCACATAATGCTGCAGGCTTATTGGCTCATTGACGCTGATGAGATTAACCCCTTAGGTATTGAATTTGGTACCGAACGTCGAGACGTTTTTCGATACTTGATGGTATCGAGGCAATTCGGTGCCTAAAAAGTATTTAAAATTATGGTTGAACCACTGATGTCACATGGACTATTTGAACAATGTCCTTACTATCGTTCTGGGCCTTGAATGTGTCAGTTGCATTGTTGTCTATGAAGAGGGTTGCAAAAAGATGGAAAATTTCCAGTAGATTTCGGAAACATTCCAGAACTTTGGGAAAATTTCCTGGATTTTTTGTAATCTTCCAGGGATTTTTTAAAGTTTCCGGAAATTTGCCACCCCTTTGCAACCCGTGTCAGTAAACTCTCGAATTTCACCAAAAATATCTTAATTTGTGTTCTGAAGATGAATGAACGTCTTACAGGTTTGGAACGACATGAGGGTGACTAATTAATGACAGCATTTTCATTTTTGGGTGAACTATCCCTTTAAGTGTGGGTAAAAGTAAAAGTGATGCTTGTCTTGAACTAAATAAACTAAAATAACTGAACTAAAAATTTTAGCAAAGTGCTTTAGAGGTGAACTACATCATGATGTAAGATTAACCATAGGAATCATCAAACATGCCTCCAAAAAAACAAACCTGCAGCCAACGTAGGGATACGCCATCACAAAAACATGGGCTAACATGCCCACACTTATAATTTGTATATTTTTTATATTAAAATTATAGATCATTTTGCACACATTTTTAATTGGATGCTTTTTCTTACAACACAAATATGCAATAACAACTGGATATTACACAGTTATTATAATTTTACAAGCAACTTCAAGAATCTGGACTCCAAAACAGCATAAACAAGACAAAAGATCAAGAATTGGTTTGTGATTTTAAACCCATTCTTACTGATGCTACCAACACTATCACAAATCACTCTTGCAATTTCTAAAGTTGACAAGCGGAATTCTCAAACAAATGTCATTGATTTTGCACGGTCTAAAAATGCATTCACTACCGTTTGGGGTCGGTAAGAATTTTTAAAGAATTTTTTTAAGAAGTCTCTTATGCTCACCAAGGCTGCATTCATTTGATTAAAAGTGCTGGAAAACAGTAGTATCGTTAAATATTATTACAATTTAAAACACATTTTTCTATTTTAATATATTTTAAAATGTAATTTATGAAAGCAAATCTGAATTTTCAGCAACTGCTGGTGCTCAAAAAACATTTAATATTATCATCAATGTAGAAAACAGCTTACTATTAATATTCTAAACCATTTTTTTCTGGATTATTTGATGAATTCTGTTTGAAAGAACAATTTAAATCAAATTGAAACCTTCTGAGACATTATAAATGACTTTACTGTCACTTTTGACTAAGTGAATATATCCTTGCTGAATATAAGTAGTTGTTTTCACAATGCGTGGGAGTTGGATTTATTTGCCGCATGTGACAGATGCCATCCATACAGCTTAACTTGTATTGAACTCTGAACATTCCTTTAAACACAGTATGCGTTTGCTGAAATGTCTGCAGGAGTGTAATCTGTGCAGTATGCTCACTGTAATCTCTCCAGTGTGTGTTAACTAATCGCGCGTGTGTGTGTGCGCGTTCACTATAATCTCTCTCTACTGTAGGTCAGAGGTGCTTCGCTGGCTGGATTGTGTTTATATACAAGATGTGGAAGTCGGTGGTGTGCGTGTAATAGGGTGTGGTCTTCCAGATGGCTTTTATGGTGCAACTGGCTTTGTACGCATGATTGAGCTGTAACTCGAAACATCACACCAAACACACAATTAAGCGACTGACAAACCTACTCATCTGACAAGAATAAACCATAAATCTTTCATTGTCAACAGAGAGGCAGTGTAAGGTGCAACCAGCTGGGTTCAAAACCACCTTTAGAAGTTCATGCCGAGTTTTTAAATGTAAACTTCATGGCAGTGTGGCATTTACTCAAAACCACATGGCTCGAGACAACCTATAAAATCTATAAGTAAACACTTTTACTTTGAAAGCACATTCTTGCTGATTAAATCAGTGGGAAAGTGGAAGAACATCCCTGTACAGTACAATAACTTTACAAAACATTAAAAATAAAGGTTCCAAAAGGGTTTTTCGCCATAGAAGAACCATTTGTGTTTGCCCAAAGAACCTTTCAGAAAAAGAAGAAACAAAAGAACCATTTTTTTGTTAGTGTGATGAACACTTCACTAACTAAAGAAACTTTGTCCACTGTAAACAGCCTTTTGTGTGTTGAAAAGGTTGTAACCATAAAAGTCATGGAACCATAGATTCCAATTCTAGGGTGAATAAAGGTTATTTTATTGGAATTGATGGTTCTTTGAAGAACTTTTAACATCTATAGAACCTTTCCATTGCACAAAAGGTTCTTTACAGTGGAAAATGTTTTTTTTAATACTTTTTAAAGTGTTCTTCACACCAAGAAAAAAAAAACAGTTCTGAGACCCATTCACTGAAGGATAGGGTGTGGTCTTCCAGATGGCTTTTATGGTGCAGCTGTGGCTTTGTACGCATGATTGAGCTGTAACTCGAAACATCACACCAAACACACAATTAAGCGTCTGACAAACCTACTCATCTGACAAGAATAAACCATAAATCTTTCATTGTCAACAGAGAGGCAGTGTAAGGTGCAACCAGCTGGGTTCAAAACCACCTTTAGAAGTTCATGCCGAGTTTTTAAATGTAAACTTCATGGCAGTGTGGCATTTACTCAAAACCACATGGCTCGAGACAACCTATAAAATCTATAAGTAAACACTTTTACGTTGAAAGCACATTCTTGCTGATTAAATCAGTGGGAAAGTGGAAGAACATCCCTGTACAGTACAATAACTTTACAAAACATTAAAAATAAAGGTTCCAAAAGGGTTTTTCGCCATAGAAGAACCATTTGTGTTTGCCCAAAGAACCTTTCAGAAAAAGAAGAAACAAAAGAACCATTTTTTTGTTAGTGTGATGAACACTTCACTAACTAAAGAAACTTTGTCCACTGTAAACAGCCTTTTGTGTGTTGAAAAGGTTGTAACCATAAAAGTCATGGAACCATAGATTCCAATTCTAGGGTGAATAAAGGTTATTTTATTGGAATTGATGGTTCTTTGAAGAACTTTTAACATCTATAGAACCTTTCCATTGCACAAAAGGTTCTTTACAGTGGAAAATGTTTTTTTTAATACTTTTTAAAGTGTTCTTCACACCAAGAAAAAAAAAACAGTTCTGAGACCCATTCACTGAAGGTTCGTTGGCTCATCAAAAATGTTTTTTTCATGGTATCCATGCAAAAAAAAACCTTTTGGAACCTTTACTTTTAATTCTCATGTTGTGTTCTGATCATTTTAACCCGAAGAAGATTTTCTTTTTCCTGAAAACGCTAGTTAATGTTTTCGCATTGGACTAAAACTTGACTTATCAAAGAGTTTTTACACGTGGTGTTCCCAGACAAAAATGGTCACCTTCAAAAAACGGCTTCTCATTATTCTATATTATTACCAAATTCAGGATTCAATATTTTCATCAACTTGTTTTCTTTCAATTAGTTTTGTATTTCTTTTTGGAGCTAAGTGATCATAGGTCTCGTTTTTTGAGTGAATATTTCCAAATTTATCCACAATTAATGCTTTTTTACTCAATTTAGGTGCATAAGCTCAAATTAATGAGGCCTGCGATCAATCAGTTCCAAAAAGAAATACAAAACCTGTTGCTGAAAGGCAAATAACAGAGAAAACATGTTAATAAAAAGATTGAGTCCAAGATTTGGTGAGAAATAGCATAATATGAGATTCAAGCCCAGTCATTTTCCACTGGGAACACCAAAGTGTCATTTTTGTGTTTTCTTACTGGACTCTGTAGTATCTGCGTGACCCTTTTCTTCTGCTCCATCATGTTAAAGTCTTGTCGCAGATCTGGTGACATGTTGCGTGCACGCAGGTATTCAGGGTCGTTTTCGTTGATGCGGTCGAAGTAGCCCTCCCTTTTCCCCACGCTGGGGGCCGGAGGGGTCGTCACAACCCCCTGTCTCGAATCGCCACTCATCTCTACTGAATTTTCCTGCTGTCTTCACCTGGAGAGAAAGAGAGAGATTTAGTTTGAGTATGCGCATGTTCGGTGTGGAAATGCCATTACTCTAAATACTTATATTTGCCCATCCCTAGTACACACCTAACAATACATACTGCACTGACTGAATCAAAAAAACCTTAGAGAGGAAACCTGTGCACTTAATTTGACAGGCAAAACGGTCTCGATCAGTAATGCCCCAAGGACAGACTCATCATCCCACACAACACGCACATAAGTCCACCGATCAATACAATAAAAAAACAGCCAACCGCACATTAGCTGAACTCGCTTCCTGAGAGTATCTGTATTCACAATGGACTTGGTTCTTTGTTCACCCTCGACAAAAAGAAAAGAGGGACTGTCCCGCCAACAGTGAAGGGTGGTGTCAGGTCAACCAACAGGAGGGCAGCACTATCCTATAACACTATCAGGTTTAGTTAAGCCTGATTTTTGTTCTCTCTCTCTCTCTCTCTCTCTCTCTCATACACACACTATTGTTTCAGACATGTGGATTTCTCTCTCTAGTGTGAGTCAAGCTGTAGAGCATTAAAAATGTCAAAGCACTGAATTTCTCCAGATGGTCCACTACCATTGGTTTGTAAGATTTTTCAAGAAATTAAAGGTGACATCATGAAAATCTGACTTTTTCCGTGTTTAAGTGCTATAATCGGGTCCCCGGTGCATCATTCGAATGCAACGTTTTTGTATTCGAATGTGGATTTTTATTTTAAATTCGATGAACATTCGAAATTCGAATTATTTTTTGGCAGCCCTACTGTATATTACGCTGCTGCCACACAGATCTAATATAGCCTAAGCATGCCATTTCTTTCCCAGCTGTTCACCTTCACAGACATAACTAACTGTTTTTGTAACTCATGTGTGTTTTTAAGCGCAGTAAGACATGAAAGAGAACTTAGTTTAGTACTCACATGACGGCCGCTTTTGGGCGCTCAGAAAACCGTAAAGGCCGATCAGAAGTTGAAACTAATATGGTTTAAAAAGCATGATTTCAGAGCAATAGACATAATTAAAACCAAACATATGTTTTTTAGCAGAGTATCCGAGGAAGGAGCTGTAAAGGCACAGCACTATTCTGGAAAAGGGGGCGGGGAGCAGCAGCTCATTTGCATTTAAAGAGACATGCACGAAAACAGCCTGTTTCTGCTTCCACTCAAAATTTAAAAATGATGTAATAAGTGATTTGTGGGGTATTTTGAGCTGGAACTTCACAGACACATTCTGGGGCATAATAGGTCTCCTTTAAGACTTTTATCCATCAAGGACGCACTAAATTGATCAAAAGTCATAGGAAAATGCATTTACGATGTTACAAATTAGGTCTAATTCAAATTAATGCTGTTTTTTTAAACTTTCCATTCATCAAAGAATCCTCAAGATATCATGAAATTTCATGTTTCTTGAGCATCAAATCAGCATCACAGGAAATTACAATTGCATTTTAAGAATTACATTTAAACACATTCCAACAGAAATTGCAATAACATTCCTCAATTTTTACTATAATTTTGAGCAAATAAATGCAGCCTTGGTGACTATAAAAGACTTCTTTGAAAAACATTTTAAAAAAATCATACAGATCCCATACTTTTGAACGGATCTAAAGATCCGATTTAACCATTTTTCTACTCAACAGGTGAAAAAAGTAAGTTTGATCAAAGAAAAAGCACACCTCTCCTGAACAGACGACATGATTTCAAGAACCATTCATTCATGGGGCGAAGTTGCCATTCGAGGTTTCTTCAAATCCTTAATCCTAGATATCTTAATAGTGACGCTTTGCAAACTCCAGACAGTTGTAACAGACAGTGTCAGGCATTTCCCAGGCCTCGGTAAAAGCTTTCACCTGTACCTCTCTAGGCTTTCACACTCGCTCTCTTCTGCGATTCACTCTGGAGGGGCTTTTTTTCTCTGCTGTACGTGGCTAAACTGCTCATTCAGGTCAAATGGCGCTTGTAAAGATGGTTCAGATTAGAGACACACTACTCTGCCAGAAAGAAAAAAAAACACACACACATGTACAGAGGGTGGGCTCAATAAATAAGCCCAAGCCAACAACGGCAATACCACACTACACATTTTTAGGCGTGTGGAAAAAAAAAAAAAACACGTATCAACCTGAATAAGAGTTGCATTCTTGGCGGAAAAGCCAAATAAGCACAAACATAAACAAATACAAATGCTAAAATGGATCAAATAAATCTAAAGGGGAGAGATTAAGGGGACGCCGCTTAAGTTTATTATGCTGTCAAGACAACAAACTGCACGCATACACACAAAGCACACGTGTTTCAACTCATGATGCAATATCAAACCTAGCACTAGCGACAACTGTTGTGCCGATGGATGACGACAACTCTGACACACCCACCCAGAAACAGAAACACAACACACAGGCTGCCAAGCCTGAAAGGCAGAACAACTCTAAACAATGACAACAACAACAGGTGGGTGGATATTACCAGACAATAACCACAGTATTTGTCCCTTTAAGATCCAAAAATTAGGTTTAGTCAGCCTTATGTCGTTTCAAAGCTGCCTTTCTTCTACAAAACATAAAATTAAATGGTTATGATGCTATTTCCCGTAAAATGAAAGTGAAAGAGGAAAAAGAGACACCTTTAAAGTAGTCCATATTAAAATAATAGTACTTTTATTCAGCAAGGATGCATTAAATTGATCAAAAGTGACAGCAAAGACATTTATAATGTATTTCTATTTCAAATAAATGCTGTAAACACAAGAATCCTGAAAAAAATGTTTCACGGTTTCCATAAAAATATTAAGCAGCACAACTATTTTCAACATTTATAAAAATAGGACATTTCTTGAGCAGCAAATCAGCATATTATTATGATTTCTGAAGGATCATGTGACACTGAATAATGAAGTAATGATGCTGAAAATTCAGCTTTGCATCACAAGGATAAATTGTATTTTAAAATATATTAAAATAGAAAACCGTTATCTTAATTTGCAATAATATTACAGTTTTAACAATTTTTTTTTTGAGCAAATAAAAGCAGCCCTCGTGAGCATGCGAGACTTTTCAAAAACATTCATTTTTTTTATTTTAACGACCACAAACTTTTGCGCAGTAATGAAGTCATAAGGACCTCTTTTCTGCTACTTCTCTGACAATATAATTTTTGCATCAACTGACCATTTAAAACTTCCCACCATCTGTTAAATAAATAAACCGCATAATGGAATTAAAATCTGCCAAATATGAATCTGGACATGACTCTAATACTGGGACAGGCGGCAGATGTCCCACACGTGAAATTATATAACACGAACGGTCAATCTCAGCTTATCGACTGCTTTATGTACAGCAGTGTGTTGATCTGGGACGTGTTCTTGATTGTTTCAAACTGTCAGAGTGGGTGCATGAGGGGGAAAAAAGTAAAAGAGTGTGGGAAATGTGAGGAAAGAATGGGGAGGATCCTCAATCCTCACTATAGCAGCTGTTCGGTCTCTGAATACAGGCAATAATGAAGTGCTGTGCAGGATTTCTCTTGCATAGACAGGCTTGCAATAACAGAAAGGACACTAGTAATACAATAGCCACACAACACAATAAAATACACTACAGGGACACCAGCAGTACGAGCCACAAGATTCACAGTGTGTCCTACAGTCAACGGCTCATTGTGTAGCTGCTTTCTCTCACACAGTTTAGATGCAGGGTGACGGGATCCCCATATCAGAGAGCAAACCACCTTCAAATGAGCCATTACAACATCACTGCGTCCCTGGCCGACCTTTGCACTTTTAACACACTAACCGACAACGACTTCGGATTAAAAACAAACAAATAGATTCAACGAATGTCACGACTTTCATATTTGTATGTGCATACATTGCATGGGTCAAAATAATAAATTTTTCTTTTATGCCAAAAATCATTAGGATATTAAATAAAGATCATGCTCCATGAAGATATTTTGTAAACTTCCTACCTTAAATATATCAACACTTCGTTTTTGATTAGTAACATGCATTGCTAAGGACTTCATTTGGACAACTTTAAAGGCGATTTTCTCAATATTTGGATTTTTTTTGTGCACCCTCAGATTCCAGATTTTCAAATAGTTGCATCTCGGCCAAATATTGTCCGATCCTAACAAACCGTACATCAATGGAAAGCTTGTTTATTCACATTTTTTATTGACCCTTATGACTGGTTTTGTGGTCCAGGGACACATATTTATAAGTGAGTCCTAAAGTACCTTTGAGTGCAATGTACAGTGCACTCTGCATCCTCCCACACCCCCTCATCTTTAGTATGCACTACTATTTCTCTTCTTATCTTTAGCACTAGCAGCTCTATAAATAGGGCGCGAAAGACTTTGGGACTCAGATTTCAGTCGCGGCACAAGGGTCTCGCACTCAGAATAGAAAAGAACAAGGTAAGCGAAAAACTAAAAAACAGTAACGTTAACGTTACGTTTTAAACTCACAGGAGATGCGACAAAAAGCGTTTAAGATTACAATTTTTTTTTTTAAAAAGTGTCGGTTGAAGAATAAATCTCTCTTTTGAAGCTGCTCAACGCTGTTGGAATTGCATGCAACGATATGTGTGATCCGCTTAACCACAAAACTTGGCTCTAAATGACAGTTCGTCGTTAAAACATAACCCAGAACACAAAACGGGGTGTTTTCCCAGAGTTTTAAGCCGTTAAACTCACCTGTTTGCTCCTCACAGAGTGAAAGTCCAGTGAGCGCTCGAGCGCATCTCTCTCATTCCCGCCTCAAGAATCCCAGATTACCTCAGAGGATTAAACACGACAAAAACAGCCCCCGAGCTCCACAAACAGACCCCAAGTCCACTCAGTAAAGCGCAAAACGCTGCTCTCACACAGCGACACTCCTCTTGCCTCATAAAAGGGGGATTTTCGGTTGTAGTGTGTGTTTGCGAGGATCTGCTGCAGCAGTGAGAGAAGCTGAAGCGGTCACGTGACCAACTAATCCGCCCCTTCTCTGAGCGCACGAATGCGATCGACCAATCGGAACGCAGGATGCTCACTATGTCCCGCCCACTCGCGTCCCAGCTAGAAGAATTAAAGGTCAGTGTTTACGATACTCAGTGCGTGTGTGAGAGATATAAACGACTGTATGGCACAAATCCACACTGCACCTGAATCACACGAGCAGTCAGCGCATAGATTAGAAGAACACAGTTGTGATTCCACACAACCTTGTGAAAAATTCTGCCAATACAAAATACTGGCAAGTTGTGTTCCACTGCATTCAATCAATGTTTTGGGCTCAATACAATCGACAGCATCTGTAACATGCTGTGGATTACCAGGCAACAATGTAGACTTGCTAGTTCGTAAAAGCGAGCAAAATTAACTTTTAATGAAATCTACATATTGCATATTCAGCAAGATATTCTGAATGGATTACAAGCAGAAACATGTAGATTATATTTTTGTTAATACAAAAACTTGTATACAGAAGTGTTTTAAGATGTTAAAGGGGTCATGGGATGCCCATTTTCCACAAGTTGATATGATTCTTTAGGGTCTTAATGGAAAGTCTGTAACACAGTTTGGTAAAAATTTCTCAATGGTAGTGTAAAAAAACAATTTTTTTACCTTGTCAAAAACAGCTCTTTTCAGATCAAGCCGTTTTTTGTAGCATTTTCCTTTAAATGTTAATGAACTCTGCTGACCCCGCCCCTCTCTTCCGAGCTGCTCTCAGAGAGACTGTTTACTTTAGCCGCTTTCATGTGAAACTTGCTAATTAGCACATTATTAGGAAAGGCGATTTGCAAAGATTCATTACAAAACATTATACTCACTTCTTCTGTAGATGAGGCTGGATCATGAATGATTTGCGCGAACATAGACGCATTTATGTAGATCGGGGGCGCATTCTCTTCAGAAACAATGTAATCCACTGCGTCTTCAGCGGCTCAGATGTCGGGAGTAAATGATGACTGCTATGTTCATTATTACATCCAACAACAGAACACCTCAATCGCTTGTTAGGAGTCATTCTTGTCTACATCTGCTCCAGCGGTGAAACAATGGCGGACTGATGACAGCTCACTCAGGGCGGAGCTAAGGTAAGACACCAGTCCAGTCTGTGCTGAGACGCTACTGTTAATCAAACTATCGTGGGATAGTGAGATCGGCTCGATTTGAGAAAGGGGAAAACATTTAACCAGATTTAAAAAAAACACTGGGTGGATTTTTATCATTATAGGGTGGTTGTGTACACACACTGCCAACACACATTTCAGTTCAAACAACTTGTAGAAGTGCATGTAGCATCCTATTATATCCTAATATCTCTTTGGGTTTGAGACTTTAGTCTTTGCAACTTTAGGGATCTTATCTATTCACGAACAGCTTGTAACACTCCAAAGAGAAAGGAAAATTTAAAATGGCAACATATGACCCCTTTAAGTTGTCAATTATAGAGAAAGTGAAGTTGATGTCACGCCGCAATGAGTTCTGGGAAACTGCTTTGTTTATCCGCCATACTGGAAGGAGCGTGCTGCCCATCCGCTATTGACAGACTATAGAATACCCAAGACGTTTCACACGTATAGTTTTGACTGGGGAAAAATGCAACGCTCAATATGGCCGCTCTATCGCAGGAAGCCCCGCCTTCTGAATGAAAGAGCCAATCACTAATCGGTAAAGTCAGCGCGTCACTGCAGCTGCCGTTAGAAGTCCCGGTTGCTATAGAAACAGTCAGCGCTCTGAGATGTGCTCTCAGGACTGCGCATGCGCACTGGCTGATCTAGCCTGAATAAGATTTTTATAACGCTATTTGAGCAAAAGAAACAACATTTATGACACAGTTGTTGTCAGATTTCATTGGTGATTTCAAATTTCAAATTAGTTAGCTTAGTGAACAGTTTTGGAGAATTTGATGTTTCCCCATTCAAAGAGATAGGAGCTGCACTTGCATGCCCGAGGGGCATTTCAAAGATGGCCGCCAAGTGACATGACTTGCCTTAAAGGGACTTTGCTATTGAGTATAGTGCAGTATTTTGATTTTCTGTCGTTATTATGAAAAAAAATAATAATAAAATCACCATTATAATGGCATTCATGTTGCATCGAGAATTGCAAAAGTAACTCAGATCATCGTTCTGAGAGAAAACTGGACAATGCAATGTTTTTTGCCCCGCCTTTTCTACTTGTAAAAACACCAAGGGAAGCAGGTCGCGGAGATGATGAGAAGACGCAGGATGATAAATCTAATAATAATAATAATATCACCGATTAAACCCACTGCCTTCTCACTCAAAAAAAGAATCACATTGCTGTGTGTTTCTGAAAGTTTTGATTTTGTTTGGTTTAATAATTAACATTACCCTTGCCAGTATGACTCTCACTCGGCTTGTGAATTAGCAGAACTTGAACAGGGACTTTCTAAAATGCTTTACTATAATAACGCTTCATGTGGCTTAATGTACTAAGACCGCGATAAAGACCAAACTGTAAAGTATATGTGCATATGAGCCTAAAATGTTAATACAACACATTTATTTACACATTAAGCGTTTTCCTCTCATATAACGTAAAGAAAATGCTTAATGCACTGAGACAATGATATTAAAGGTACACACTTCTGTACACACCTTACTAATAAAGCATACAATATGAACTTTAAATAACTTAGTCTTAATGCATAAGCGTTTTCTATGGATTTCTCAAGGGAGGAAAAGGCTTGTAATTTAATCGTGTAATTAACGCATCTTTTAGCATCACTGTCTTCATATTAAGCCAGCATTTTATAATGCCATAGCTGTTCACAAGCGAATACAAATTTATTTACACATTAAGCGTTTTCCTCTCATATAACGTAAAGAAAATGCTTAATGCACTGAGACAATGATATTAAAGGTACACACTTCTGTACACACCTTACTAATAAAGCATACAATATGAACTTTAAATAACTTAGTCTTAATGCATAAGCGTTTTCTATGGATTTCTCAAGGGAGGAAAAGGCTTGTAATTTAATCGTGTAATTAACGCATCTTTTAGCATCACTGTCTTCATATTAAGCCAGCATTTTATAATGCCATAGCTGTTCACAAGCTCCCAGGGATTTGAATCGATGTCATTTGTTGGCATAAATATCCGGTTGTTCGGTTAATGTGACCCACAATCTCTGATTCTCCTCCGTGGCCATAGAAAAATGAATATTTACAATGACTATAATTATACTTCGTCATTGAAACGTTTCCAACAAAGAAATGGATCGACTTCTGTCAGCTTGTTGAACACACTTTTATTTGGATATCTGACCATATGACGGCTGAAGCAGCAGAAAGCGTCCAGCGGGCGACACTGTTTTCACGCTAATCAGATCAACATTGTAAACAAAATTCTACAAAACTTAAGTGAAAAATCGAATGTTCACGCGGCGCGATAAAATAGCTTATCTTTTCTGCAAACGATACAATGAAGAATGTAAATATTTAACTTAAAGGCAAAAACAAAACAAAAGATAAGCAGGTATCCGTATTAATTTCAGCATTAGTATGGCGTGACGTAGCTTCACATTCTCAATTCTTTTAGCAACCTTGCGTACCTTATGTAGCTCTGCCCCTTTTCAGCGCTGCGCTCGTTGTCTTTTGTCTTCCGGATTGTATTTCCACAGCATGAAGTTAAGACCTAACGTATTTTTGAATGAACTGCTCGTTTAAAAATCTTCCCGACCTTCCCTACTGACATTTGTTATGACATCCGCTCTGAACATTAAAATGCTCACCAGCTAATTACTCTTCAACAGTGATGCTATAGAAATATACAGAGCTACCACAAAAACAGAAGTTCAAAGTCAAAAATCTAAAGATGGCTGCGCGCTTGTTTCTCTGGTCCACATTCATATTGTGTTTACATGATCCTAACAGAAGTAATACATTCTGGATGTAATTTTGCTCAGTTAGTAAGCGATCACTCTAGTCTCATGTCAACATGTTTGACGTCTTATAGGCATAGTTTCGAAAAATGTGTATTTTAACACATACTCTGGTTTAATGTCTTGCCCAATACGTTTATTTAAAATGAATAAGCAATTTTAAATCACACTAGGCTCCTGTTAACGTGCTTAATGTTTAACTCTTATGGCTATCAAAAATTATTCAGATATTCTATTGCAGTGTCTTGCCCCATACACTTCTATTGTAAGCACATTACCTAAAATGTGACTTTGTTTTTACAAACAAAACGAAATTATGTAATGATACAGTAGTATGAATCAGCTAATAGTGTTTTGAATATAAATTATAATTTAAAAACCTGCTACAACAAAGAATCTAATTTCATAACTGGCCTCTAAAAGCATCCAGCACAAGTAAATAAACAAAACTGAATAACTATTTCCCACAACCTGCCATCCAGAGGACTGGAAACACTTTATAACACAATTCCTAACTCGAACACGAGGTCAAGGTTAGCATGGCCTAGTTTGCGTCTATAGGTAGATGGGATATACCATGCCTTTTTATATTTTGTCAAGAAACATGTAAAACCACAAATACTGTATTATATTACAGTAGATATTTTAGCATTTAAAACGGGTATCAAAAGAGCAGACAGACATGTCAGACACTGATATCTCACTCATAAATCTCTCTCGTAAACCTTTTCCTGTCAACGTAAACACACAGGTAAACATAACTTACATACAGTATACACACCTTATATCAGATGACATCAGGGAAGTAAGGATCATGATTGTTGTGTACACAGACATCCAACAGTACAGTAAAACAGACCAAACAGACACAAGTTCAATCAAGGACATCAGAAAATGTAAAAATTCTATGCAATTTAATGGCAGCATTTGGATATGATCACACTGATTAAAGTGAACCAATAAGAAGAGAAAAAGAGAGAGACAAACAGAGTCAGACTGACTATAAATAAATGGTTTCCATGAGACCGTTCACAAAAGTCCAGTGGGAGGACAGTCATTCAGATTGA